TAATGAGATTTAGTACAAAAATGTATGACGATAATCATGAAATTTCATAAGTACATACTCAAGAAAGAATTAAAATAAATATTATAACTTTGATTACCAATCCATGTATCAGTACTTATGTATCAATAATCAAGCCGCATGGCGTTAACCATTAAGGCAGTTTGAATGAATAATTATAAGACTTAATGATATACTATCGATATTAAGGAGAAATGCAAAAGAAACCTATATTCCTGATTAATTTTTATTTTTTTTAAGTATTACGTATTGCATAGGTGAATATTAGTTTTTTTATGCTTGTCATATAATTTGATGTAAATTAAATTTAAAAAACTGTTACTTTTAGTGAAAACATCTTTCATCAGTATATGTACAACAAGCAGTTCTTTTAGAGACATAAAACCTAGATAAACTAAAAATTTGAAGATTTTCAAGTCAATAAAACCGCAAGTCAGCACCAACCTCTCCCAAACAATTCAGAATCCACACATTCTCCATTGGGTATGACAACAAGATGTTCCAAGCACTTACTGGCCACTTTGTACGTTAGTTGAACTATAAATGGTAGCTAAAGCACTCCAGGTTACTTGGTAAATGGTGCTTGTCTTATCAATTCATGCTTCATTAATTGATAAAGGAGCTAGTAAGTGACCCGGAATATGTGGTGATAGGGAAACGGCTAGTAAGTGCCCCTGATTCTTTATCAATTAATAAAGTAGCCATTAAGTGCCCTGGGCTATATGGAGGTTGGCGCTTGTCTTATTATTTAATGCGTAAACAGTTAATAAAATGATACATTATATGTCCACCAAGTGTTTGCCAAGTGACCACTAATTACCCGGCACGTGCCCACGAAGTACCCAGCAACTGCATGGCAAGTAACTTGCAAGTGCCTGAGAAGTGCCCTACGAGTACCCAGAAAATGCCTGACCAGTACTCAGTAAGTGCTTAGAAAGTGCCTGACAAGTACGTGCCAAGCACCCGACCCCAACAAGTACCCTGAAAGTGCGTGGCAAATATCCAGTATATGTCCATTAAATGTCCAAGAAGCTTCTGCCAAGTACCCGGTAAGTACCTATCAATCACCCGAAGTATGTTTGCTAAGTATTCACTAAATGCTCAAAAAATTTCTGACCAATGATCAGGAAGTGCTAAGTACCCGCCAAGAGCCCAAAAAAAGCCTGCCAAATGACAGAAAAATTTCTACTAAGTACTCAGATAGCATCATTAAAGTAGCCTCAACAAATCACCCAGGTGCTTATGCAATACCTGGTATCTGACTACGTTGTTTAAGCTGTGTATTAATTTTTGTACTTTTTAACCTATTTTAACTATTTTTTATACATGAATAAAACTTTATCGTCTTAGAGAGTCGAATGCTTACGCAGCAAGTAAACAACGAAGCGCTTCTATACCTATATTTGTTGGACGATGGATTGAAGCAAGGCTGGCTACTTCGGGTAGGCAAATCGATACAATTTAAGAGTTTACCCTTAATTTAAAATTATAAAAACAAAAATAAGAATACTTCGTTGCAATTTTATTGCCAAAAGTGCAAGTCTCACTCCAGTAATACTTTTCTTTTGTAAACAATAATAATATTTATATATGCGAATACAGAGTCGACAAAATTCTTATTTCATAAATTTGAATATAGCGCAACTTTCTCGCAAATTCACTTATGGAGTGTCTTCAACTCTTACCTTACCATAACATAAAAAATTGATTCTGTCCTCATTTATTGGACTTCAAAATTAATTCCTTGAGCTGTACCTGAGAACTGACGATGCTGCAATGACATCAAGATCTCTGAATTATCGTGCAATTCTTAACTTCTTAATAAAACAAAAACCAATGAATAAAAATTAATTGTAACAAAAGAAAAAGCAGTAGATCAAGGAAAAAATCTTATCAAAATTCTGAACACTAGAACTTATTATACTAATCACAAAAAGCTGCCAGAGAACAATTTAAAAACAATATTAATAATCACCGCTACTGGAGAAGGAAGGACTGGAACCGCAAAAGTCAACATGCTAAGTGATCATATTGACAAAAAAAACCGCATGGGAATATAGACGAGACTTCAAAAACTGCTGCGAACGGACGTCCCCAAGATACCTAGTGGACGGAATCAGGACCACCCTTCGATTGGTATATTAAACAACCGATGGCTTTATGTCCCAACTCTTAAAAGCCTTGCGACTTACACCCCTTTAAGCCATGAAGGAATTTGCTTACCTTAATTCTTTCCAAGTCCTTTTCTCGATTACACGAAATCAAAAACTGCCTTTCTTCCTTCTCTCTTTCTCGCAGCACACCACGGCACGTCTTCTCCAATCCCCATCTCTCATCCGCATAACCGTGATCGCCAATTCTGTTGTGATACACAACAAATCACCCAACAATAGAGGGATCGGCAACATAACCACGCTTCCTTCCAAGAAACCACCGATTGCCGACGGAATTTTCATCACAGCAGCATGATTTAAAACAAATTAATTCAGAGATTCTTCCAATATTTACAAAATATTGAATCACAAATTTATGTAATTTGTAGTTATCACAAGTTTATAGTTTCTATAATATCAATACAAAAAAAGATCTTAATTGTCTATATAATTTTTGAATACATGATCTACAATTCGCTATTAAAATATTTACAAATTTAATAAATTTGTGATTTGCCAAAAACATGTTTTTGACGTACTTCTAATTTATTAACATAATTAGTTTTATTTTTTAATTCAATATTTTCACCATGGCAAAGAAGTTTAGTTTCTACCAACAGTCCCACGACTATCCTGGTTTAATGTTTTGGTTGGTCACGTCGAGATTCGAAAGAACTTGATGAGGCTCATTAATATTCAAATAAAATTGTTATTGTATTGCTTTGTTTTGTTAAGAATCAAATTATTTGAACTAGAAAGAGAAACTAAAGAAAAATACCAAAACTTCTCGTAATAAAACATTATTTAACTCGAAACAAAAGATAGAATCTTTTCAAGTAACTATATCATAACAAAAAATTTATGAATCAAGGAGCTACAGTATCGAAAGAAAAAAATTTCTCCATCTATGGTCAGAGAATATTAGGTACAACTATTTAGCTTAAACGTTGATTTACTACTTTGATTCATAAAGCAAGGATATTTTATCTATGGCGTGGACAAGCATTGCCACTAGTTGGTTTTTTGAAGGAATGAAAACTGACAGAACTTATAAAATATCTTGAGATCTAAGTAGAATGTACAGTACTGTTATAAAATACAATGAGATAAAAATGAAGTGCACGTAACTTTTGTAATTTAATTAGAACTAAGCATTCATGATATAAAGAAAATATTTAAAGCCGTCGATGGACTTCCTTTACAGAAATTGAAAAATTATAATTATTTACTATTTAGTAATCAACTTATTACTTTAAGTAATGACTTTTAGTAAATTTTTTAAATTCAATAAATGCAGATAAAAATATAATTTAAAGACCTAAAAGTTTTTAAATCTTAAGCACTTTTCTAAAATTGAGCAATAAAAACATGCATTCATTCAATGGACAAACACTTTTTGTCGCAAAAGTACACTGAGAAAGAAGTGGGAGAGCAGAACTCTTTCGAAGGAGCTCTGCTTTACCAAACAGTAGGGCTACTTATCTCCGCTCGAGTGGGGCAGCTGCTGTCACACAGCGAGAGACTACAGCCCCCTTTGCGGTGCATACACAATCTCACTTGGCGAGACTGCAACTGTCTCCTATGTGGCTATTTCACTGACGGTGCGATTTTGTCCACCCAGTGGGACGCCACAGCTCCCACTCGTGCAGGATACAAGCGATCCTTCGAGTGTGGAATACCTGTTGTACCGTAAGTGGCGCTACATACGCCCTACAACTATGAGAGCATAACCTCACCACGACTGGTACATCACCGCTCCCACTTCTTTCTCAGTGTAAAAGAAGATAATACTAAATCAGATAAGTTTTAGAAAAATAAAAAAACACTAGATGTTTGCTCGGAAGCTTTTAGTAGCGTTAAGGAATTTTTATTGAATAATGTCATTCTTACATATAATTAGAAAAAGTTTCAGTCAAATAACTATTAATATACAAATAATTCCAAAAAGTAAGACTTATTATACTATAGGTTAGGTAACTCATAATAGATTAATGGAGAAAAAAATTTTTATTTTATTCAATTCAGTATCTAATTCCACAAACTAAACTTCAAAGATACACCAGTCTAATGCAAATGAGCAATTTATTTATTCCAGATGGATTTGGTAACAGAACGGATGAGAAAGTATAATTTGATGTTCATTTACGAAGAGGCGTAGGCCCACTGTAAGATAGCTTAATGTAAGCATGGAGCATGGTATTTTTATACAAAAATACACTTCATACAACATATACTTCGTACAAAACCCGTACTTATGATTACTAACTTAATGTATGTAAAAACAGTAAGTTTTTGGGAATTGGTCTTAGAATTACACCATAAACAAAGTATCAAAAGAAAAATTTCCGGTGCACTGATACTGTATTTTCACTTTCTTGTGGTTTTTTATTATTATTATTATTTTTTTTTTTTGATGTTAATGCTCAATACTAGACTTACATTTAATGCATGCACTTTATCCCAAAAAAGTATGTTTTCAATGGGGGTTACAATGTTTACAGTAACTTTCAGATTCAGAAAATGGTTTTTAATCAAAAAATTTTAGTAAGGTTTTGAACACTTAACTTCTTTCCAAGCAAGTATTTTGAAAAATGGTATGAATGTATCTATAATAACTTGTAACGCAGTCAATTCTTAGCATCTCACTAACGATAATTCAACTGAGGTTTCTTGAAAAAATAATATAATTTGCAAACAATTTATAATTGTATGTTTTCAGAAATGTTTCCAATAACACACAAAATTAAAATAAAGGGAATGGAGTGCGAAGCACACAGAAGTGATAGGCTCCCTATTATGTATATATTATATAAATCAAAGTATACTCACGACTCAATTGTGTTTAAAAGACAAGATAAGAAATTCAGTACTGGATGAACATATGGTGGTCCTCCATCAATTTTTGGATGTTGACTTACATATATTTCGAAAATTTCGCTAGCTATCGATTTTTTTTTTAGACAAAGTAACCTGGAATGCAGAAAAAAATCATACTTAAGCATATAAAAAAACCATTAACTGAGTGTTACACAATTTACTGAAAGATAACATTAGAAACAATTTTTAGGGTTAAGCATACGTAATTAAAGTACATACACTCACATCCATATGGTCTTTTATACATGTATATTATTATTAAAATCAGTTAAGATACACATACAACTACATAACTGTAAGAAGTGAGCATGTATTTTTCAATTCATGTAATTCATCTTTGAAGGAACAAAAAGTCAGCAATGAGTAGATGATTTGTGATAAGCCTACTCTAAAAACCGAAGGAGGCCTACTTACATATATTGATGTAAATTCAGTAATTTGTAACTATGTTTTTTAAAGTATTATGTCCATAATACTTGAGATGATTGCATAAAAATAAAATTATATTGTTGACGTACAAATTCCTTGCTGAACAGAAACAGATCAGTTATGACAATTACTGTAGTAATGTGTAGAAACATGTATTTTAAAGTTGGTTCATTGACAAAAATTAACGTAAGGTAACGAAACAGGATATACACAATAATTTATTTTAATATTATATAAGTCAGGTTCTTTAGAGTGTTTTCTCATGTTTAATATTTGAACTTATGAATTCTAAACTTCTTTTTTTATGGTTTTACACTAATACTTCATTGAAGTCATTTATTTTTCGCATCTTTTTCGTCACCTTAGAAACATCACTCTAAATGGCAGATAAAAGAAGATCTTGTAAGTAAAGAACAGCTTTAATGAGCAGCTGTAAATAGTAGAAAAATATGAAATCAGAGGACAGTGGGTGCTTGGTTATCCAAGTAAGAAGTTATACTACTATAAATTGCATGGCAGGTAATATAGTTTTAAATATAAATGTACCTCCTATGAAACGATATTGTGTACAAAGGTGGTGCAATTATCGCTGGAATGAGGATACCTACGTTAGCTGGATGAAGTTTCAATAAGTATTTTAATATTTAATAACTAAACAATTATAAACAATATTTAATGGCAAAACACAATATAAACAAAATATGTAGGCTGGCCAGTACAAGACTGTGCACTTTCATCGAATCTTCCGATGGTTTTAAAACAACTTTCTAAGAACATAAAAAATACCCTTAAAACATAGTAGATTGTTCAGCTGTACCCTTTTTTCACACGTTTAATTTTAAAAAATTTGCAGTTTACCATGTGACCTCATAGAAAAATCACTTTAAATTGCATTTACAAGACCTGTATAAAACTCTCACTTTTTGTTTGTATGAAAGATCACTATTAGATAACCCTGTTTTATTTTCAAATGGATTTATAATTTTGTTTTTTTTTATAACTTAAGAAAGAGGGAGACAAGTATGTGTGAAAGCATTCATGTAAGTACATACATATGAAAAAAGTAATTTCCAGCGTTGCTGCATATATTTGCGCTTCTCCCACCTCTCTAAATTTTGAGCTAAACTTTTATCCGACAAACTACGTGATTAAAGTCCATAAGTCAAAAAATTACTTCAATCACAAAGAAAAAATTATGAAAAAAGAAAATCCATCAAAAATGAATTATTCATACAGTAAAAAACTTTTTTTAATTATGAATATTTTGAAAAACTGTGAAAAAATTGTTTTAACAATTATTTATTTATTTTAAAAGAAACAAATTAGAAATAAGTAAATAAGTGTTTATTATTACA